CTTCTGTCCTTTCGTATTTTCAATTTAATTAACAGGAAATCGTTTATTCTTATAGTAAATGAGGCTTTCCCATTAGCTTCTTTTTTTGAATAATATACTTTTATTCTCAATGATACTAGACTGTTTTACTTATTTAACCTATCTCTCAGGTTATCAGGTTCTGGCTTTTTTTCTAGACTTGAATAATCACCCTCAGTTTTATTTAATTTTTATCTTCCACTCTCAGAGTTGAGTCACTTTGCTCATTTGGCCCTAAAAGGTGTTACTATGACGACGGGCAAAAGAAGCGATAGCGATGGCAGTGGCTTGGCGACATCTGCAGCGATTTCGGGAAAATTAGATCATCATTATCCGAAACATCCAAAGGGACTCACGGTGGCGCCTCATCAATTTCACTCAAAGTTATTAGACGATCAGCCATCTGCGGCCCGGATGGAGAGGTATGCTGAACATTTAGATGGAGGCGAGAGAGGAGAAGAAGAGGACGAGGAAGAAGACGAGGATGACGATGACGATGAAGGGGAAGGCATGGATGAGATTGCCGAGTATGGCGATATTTGTGGAGAGGAGGGGCAGGAAGAGGAAGAGGAAGATTTAGGTGACCCTGAAGACGACGAGTATGAGGGAGAAGAACCTGAAGGTGAGGATGATGAAGAAGAGGACAAAGAATTTCCCTTATTCCAGGCCTTAGAAGGTCACGGTCTTGCAGCTCTCGCAAACCACCCTGAGGATGCTGACTCTGGCTTGGGCAGATCTGGTACTTCTCAACGGACTTCCGGAGCTCAATTTGGCCTCTCAGGTAATCAGGATCTCTCTGTCCCTCCACGTTTGCTTCAAATTGAGCCTGATCATGAGGTTCACGCCACGACCGTTGATCGCCTTACAGCTGCTGAGACTGCTATTGCTGCGACAAATATAGGGATTTCTTCGCGATCTGGTCATGGTCAGAGGCTAAAACACCTGAAGCAAAAGGCTCAGGCCAAAGTTCAACGCCAGCAACAACAGCAGCATCAACTACAGCTCAAGGCGACGCAGTTCTTCTCACTCGATTGCAGGGACTCGGCTTCAGATGGCGTAACACTGGCACAGGATAAAGTACCTCCCCCAGCCTCTGCATTTGGCAGAGTAGAATCTTATAAAAAGTTGGACGTGCTTGGAGAGGGTTCCTACGCTACTGTATACAGAGGCTATTCGCAGTGAGGCTCATTTATTAACTGTTTTTTTAACTTATTTATTCATTTTAGGAGAGATTTTACTAGTAGGACTTCTGAATAGTGGGAGTATGTAGTCTGAGTGCATAGGTACATACTGATACTTAATATGGGGTTTGGATGAAGCTCATAGTCTCTTTTAGCCCCTCTGGATTAGGGACCATTTAAGTCGTTTTATAGACTAGAATCTTTTTTCTGATTTATCCCATTCAAATAACTATCAGATCTGCTAATTATATCAACGGAAGTGATAATAGTTGTTTATTTAAACTTATTTAAAGAAATAGTCAATATAAGTCTGGGTTTCTTTATACTAATCATTACTTAAAGGAAGTACCGCAAAGCAATTATGGAATTCAGAAAATGTCATTGGATGGGACGCCAGGCAGGCATGAAAACCTGATTTATTATATCAATTTATGGCATGCGGATAATTATATCATATTCCATCTCTTCGTAATGGTCTGCACATTGGTGCCTATACAAATTTCTCGCTTTATTCATGACAGGAACAAAGGCAGCTACGTCTTTAATAAATGGAGTTCGGCAAGCCCTGAATCAGCTTGAGCCTCCAATCTCTTGCCTTATGGAAGTATTTCAAGATTTTAAATAATCTGATAATTCAAGTGTATGTACCTCCATACTATTGCTCTGATAATCGTAAATCATAACTCCTAAGTTTGGTCTATCGGATTTTATGAATTAATGATTTGGAAGGGACTATTTTATTTATTCTCCGCAATTTATACCTTTATGATCCTCCGAGCTGCACAAGGTTTTACTATTTAAATTATAGCTGTACTGGATTACTCAGCGAATTGTTACTATTTTATTGCATTGCTTCTCTGCTCCGGGTTACCTTCCGACAGTATAACTTCATATTGCCCTCACTTCCTAATTCTAGATAATCCCTCTATTCTCCATCTTTTGAAGTAATTGCCATGATCCAAACACTCTGACACTTTCCTATTTTATCGTAAAATTCTAGCAAATTTTTTTATAGTTAAGCCACCATTAAATTTTCCCAGGTTTAAATGAATGCAAGTCTATAGAACGTTTTTGCCATTTTGGCTATTCAGAATTGGGGTCAGCCTAGAAATTATACGTGAATATCGGGCCAACTCGATAAATTGATTATAACCAATTAGGAGGTATCTAGTCGTCAGGCC